TGGAAGGGAGATGTTCTTTTGAAGCCACATGTTCCACTGGGAACCTAAGAGAATAATAATACTGTGTTACAACTACAACGGATCAGAGACTTGACGCATCGTAAACAGCACCTCAAACAAACTACAGAATTTCATCAACAGCTGCCTTCGCTCAATACTCAAGATCAGATGTCCAGAAAAGGGATCTCTGGGAGCGAACCAACCCAGCAGGAACCGGTTGTGCAAAAAATAAGCAGGAAGAAATGCAGGTTGATTGGCTATACTCTGAGGAGACCATCAAGTGACATCACTAGACAAGCCCTCGAAAAGGAAGTGGAGGAGGTCATGTGAAGAGGAGATGAAAGCATGTGGGCAGACTTGGAACCAGGTGAAAACTTTAGCAGAGAACTGAACGCAATGGAGACGAGCAGCTGAAGCCCTATGTTCCTGTAGGAAATAAAGGAAATAATAATAATACAACCACAAATTGCATTAAGTACTTCTCAGATGTGGTAAAAAGTCATCCTAATTCTAGTTTAAATAAATCTACTGAGACGTTTCAACCTTAGATACCAATATCCTCTATATTTATGAATGTGAGACAATGTGGTTTTCATTAAATTGGATTAGAGGAACGTAAATATAGATCATGTGAGATAACTTCTTACTGATACTTTTATCTTAGCGATCACGAATTGTTTTCCCTTAACTCATTCCATATATTCATTCATCCACAAAGTACTCTAACACTTCTTGCAGTTTGTAATATGTTTTATTATTAATTTCTGCATGAATGCAGTTATCACACCGTCGCCTATGTTCATCATTTACAGTTATTATATGTGTATGTGCGTTGGTGACACAGCGGTAGAATGCTCACGGACCGCTTCTGTGGTCCGAGGTTCAATCCCCCGCTGACTTACTCCTTCACCTCGCTAAGCCAATAATAAGACTGGTGGAGAGGGAAGATTGGGCATGATGCTAGTATCCCCATTCCGTAGAAACAAACTACCTCTGCCGAAACTTCAAAGCTGTAGCTTGAAGCCGTCTCTTTGTTCCACTAGGAACGTAAAGAAATTACAAAAAAATATATGTATGCGTTGACGAAGTGTTGAATAGCGCTGCCTGTAGGTCAGCTGAAGTATCAGTTCCATCAGATATTAATGCGAAAGCTTAGAATTGCAGTTAATCAGTGAAATACAAACTCGTCTTTAGTTTATTGTAATTCTGCATTTTCATATCAGATATATCAGGTTCGATTCCCGAACGTCTCACACATTTAACTTCCTAAATGTCCTCCAAACCCGACAAAGAAAGAAGTTAGGGAGGGGGAGAAGATACCATTGCCACTAAAACTTCAAAGCCAAAAGCTTGAAGTCCTATATTTCAATGGGAACGCATACGAATGGAAAAAAGGACTTTCGTTTTATCCTTCACTCTGAAATATATGAATTAATGAATGTAACAGTCTACACTGCAGCAGCAGTGCAACTGAAAAGTCGGACTTGAAACTGTTTTTTCTTAGCAGGTATGTACATCACTTCGATGTGACTAACAAGCATTATTGTGTGATGTGCATAGTATCTGGCATGTCATATCAATCAACCAGGTGTACACAGTATTACACTATTTTGCTTGCTTTCTTGATTTTTGTCCATGGTATCAATCAGGATATATATGGCTTTTAAAGTAAGCTATAGTTATTTATCAACTTGAGCTATTGAATTTGTAAGTGGAGAATTTGTTACTCTGAAAAAATATTCAACAATATTGGCTGTAGAAATAACTGTTTAGTGGTCACATATAGAAGTGTGAAATGTACTCTTAATTGCTTAAAATAATCAATATCGCTACAGATCAGATAGTGGTTGATAAATCTCCATTTTCATTCAAAAATAACAACAACTGACTCATTAGCGTAATTGTGTGTATCATGGCGTTCTACTCTCCTTTGAAGTCTTGACGCCAATCCATGTGATTGCGATGAAAATGTTTTGATACTCTGATGGTTTATAAACAGTACAATTTTGATTGTATCTCCATTTATTATGACCATTGTGAGATATTATGTTGTACTTCAGAGTTATTTGGCCGGCTGAATTTTCGTTTCCATGATAACAAACGAGTGAGGGCAGATTGTGAATTATTATTATTAAATATATCACAAACCTCTTAATGCTGAGAATCGAGCTCTTGTCAGTCACCATTTATCGTAAACAATATATCGCAAATAAGACAGATTCAAAGCATATGGTTTTCTTCAGGAAATCATAAAACAGTTGCTCAGTAAACACCGAAAGATAAATGTTGAGGAAATATAATAAGATAGTCTGCTTTTATAGGTACGTGACTTTTGTATATAATAAACTTCATAATAATTTAAATTTAATGACACGTTTAAAATCACAATACGATACAGTAAACCAATCAAGTCATTATCAGAACCTTCCTTTGTAAGTTCTTTGGTATTCCAGAGAAGTTTGTTTGAAGTTATACCATGGAGTGACTTCAGTTAAAGAACTACTGAAAACCAGCAGAGATTACTGGACAGCCGTTATGTCCTATTTTGGGACTCTTCCACTGTACGCATCTACCGCCAGAGTTCAAAACCAGGCCCTTATAGTCACCAGTCAAACTCGTAGGTTTTTCAGACGCTGGGATGTCACCCAACTGCTCATGAGTTCTAACTTCTATCAAATCATGATTTCCGCGTGACCATCAGCTAAACTTTTTCATATGTCTTAGTAGTCAGTTATAACTACAGCATGCCAGGATTCGAATACTTGAAATCTGAGAAAATATTATACGCTTTATTTTCCTATGCCAGTACAGTAAAATATGGTGATTCGCCTACATCTCAGTTTAAGTGAGGAGACCTATAATGTAATTGAAAATGGCGATCAATTCATTGGCAATTTTTGTTACTAACTTCAAACTAAATCAGATAAAAGGAGGATCCTTCTTTTTTAAACGTAATTACTAATTAATTTATTGTGCATTAAGAACTATCACGCATCGTGATCATTTCTTATGCAAGCCTTTTTCAGTTAGTATGGTAAGATACAACTAACACTGTACAATCACAGCCGTAAATGTATTAAGTTCTCATACGTAAAATATATCTTCACAGTAGCTATCTGAAAATTAGGTGGTTCGAACTGATTCAGCTCTTTGAGGTGAGTCTAATCGGGTAGAGTACTGTTGCGCTCGGCTCCAAACGAGTGAAACACAAGTCTAGTATTTAGATCAATTCGATCTAGCTAGCAGTTACTAGCGGTTGAAGGAAACCCAGTTAAAGAATGTTCAGTCTGGGCATCTGTTCTAAAATTAAGTTTTAACTAAAATGTATGTCAGAGCACTATGGGAAACTTGGAATTGTGTAACTTGATAAATAAATTCTTGAAGTGTTACTTCAATAAAAAAAGCCTGGCAACGGGCTTGTTTCGCTAAATGGTACACATTTATGCCAAAAAAAGTTATAAGTAGTAGGGGTTACCCTTTAAATATTTATTATATGAAGGTCACTGAAAACCCCATTATCCTGGATAGATTTTTCACAGTCGTTTAGGTCTTTTCACTATCGCACACACATGATCTCATTCGCGATCACGCCCATGAGACCGATTTCGTTGACTTTTCAACCATTTTTGCCAGAGTTTAGTGACACGTGAGTTTTAGTTCGTAAACTTGTGATGTTGTGTGGCACTCAACCAGTGTCTTCGATGAGCATCCGAAACATGTTGACCTGGTGGACCCCACTGATAATACCTTCTCAGTAAAGTTTCAGGAAGTGGAATTAAGAGATGGTAATAACCGAACAAGTGCGTCGGTGGCATAGCGGTTAGGATGCTCGCCGACCATGCACATGGTCCGGGGTTCGATGCCCATCCGACGCACTCCTTTACCTCACCAAGCCTGAAATAATGCTGGTAAAGAGGAAAAGTTGGGCATGAGGCTAGCAACCCCATCCTGTAAAAATGAACACTGCTAAAGAAACTTCAAGCCACTAACTTGAAGCCCTGTGTTCCACTGGGGAATGTGAAGGAAAAAAATAATAAAAATAATAACCGAACAAAAAGAACTCTCATCAACTGTTTCAGGTCTCTTGCCATTTTCTTAACTTCAATAGAAATTGGAGGCACTGGATTAATGTCTCATTGTGACACTGTTAATGCATAGTAGGTAGCCATAAAACAGTTAAAAGTACCTGGAAGCTACTAATCTAGAATTACTGCTTTTGAAAGGATCAGCAATTGATCCATCCTGAGCTTTCCTACTAAACTCCGCGCTCATATAATAAACGTTTAATCAGTCGTAGTTTAAGCTCCTTATTTTCTCTGTAATCTGTTGAAAAAATAGGTTAAAATACCAGTTTCTCGGTATCACTGCTATACTATTAGGTTGGACAAACAACAGTATCTTAAGGAAGGTAAAATTAGTAGAATCGGCGTTTTTTCCTCCTCGCCTGTTACCATTTATGTCTGAAGGAGATCTGTGGTGAATGAAGTAATCACTTTTCATTGAAAATCCTTGAAATTTGGTCATGTTCGCAATCCCATTTCACTTCACTCCACTAGAAATCAGTTTATCCCTGTTATTATTATTACTTAAATTGTAAATTTTTTATATATTTGAATTAGTTTCAATATTTAGATTTGGTCGCCAACCAACACCAGCTGAAGAAATGATTGGAAACCAGAGAGCACTGGAAGTTACCATTCAAGGGTGACTGAATTCTGACCCAAGTGAGAGAATTGTTAACAAGCCTGGTCTTGGGTTCAATCACTGGTGGAGCTGTCAGTGTGAACCGATGAAGAGAAACTGACGGTTTTCAGTAGTTCTCTAAATACAGTCCATTCGTGATTAAAATATCATTATTCCTCTCAAACCAAAATTTCTTATTGAGTCATCCATTTACTTATTTTATAAACCAATCAAAATTCGCGCAGTTGACCTTAATTTTTTTAACATCACTGATTGGTTCTAAATTCCTATGAATAATAAGGATAATATAAGCATCTGTTAAATGATTTTGTAAAATCATGAATTTATTAATTTACTTCACATTACTATGAATAAAAAAAGAACAAGTATATAATTCATTATTTTAAAAATTAAAAAGAATGTAAAAGGAGAAAATTATTGCAAAAGGCAAATTAAAAAAAATTTCAGAATCACTCAACTTTTGCATTTTTTGCATTTCTTCAAAACAATATGATTTCAAAACACATCGGGACATTTTTACATGTATAAAGGACAATGCCACAATTAACTCACTATCGATATTATTATCAAATCTTTTTATTACTTACTAATTTTCTACTATGTCATGGAGATTTTATGGATTTAATTAGTGAATCAATTTGCGCGGCTAAATGTTTGAAAGCATTCACTGACTCGGTAAGTTGAGTAAAAATAATAAAATTGTGTCAAACAATAAATCCTATATTATTTGTTTTTCTTAATTATTTTTACCCAGAATCTGAAAAGATTTATTTGTCAGCACAATCTTGTACATTATAAATGAATGAGGTAGGATTGTATGATTCTTGAAATAAACTCGAACAAAGCGAGAACAACTTATTAATTGGTTACAGTATTTCATCATAAGCTTAGAGTAATGAGAGAACCATTGGAAAACTTGCAGGGAGTACTGGGCAGCTGTTCATATCGTCCTAGTTTGGGACTCTCCAGCAGTAAGCACTCACCACTAGAGTTCAAACCCACGACCTTCTGGTTACAAGGCGAGCTTGTAGACCATTGAGCCACTGGGACCCTATAGAGTGGTCCATGAATGCTAACTACTGCGAATTCACGAAATAGTGCGACCGTTAGCCATAAGCCTATGAGCTTGTCTTGTAACCTGGAGACCCTGGGTTCGAACCCTAGTGATGGGTGCGTACTGCTGAAGAGTCCCAAACTAGGACGATATGAACAGCTGTCCAGTACTCCTGTCGGTTTTCCAATTGTTCTTTAGCCGATATCAGCTCATGATGAAATCCTATGAATTATCAATCAAATCCATACAAACATATACTTGGAAACTTATTTATGGTTCTTGTTTTGTTCACGTTTATCAGAGAAAATAGTTGTCCGAAGCTGGAAACGATTTATACTCAACTCCTTTTAACTCCTTCTAATGCGTAACTTGTGGTTTGTTTGCTTAGAGATTAATGTGTTCTCCTACCTGGAATGTTTAATATCTATGCTTTCATTTTTTCGCTATAAAACATCTTAATCACTTTGAAGTATTTTTCGACCGCAAATTATTGCAGTTTCACAAAATTTTGTTTTAATTTTTAATGGAAATGCTTGTAGTTATGAATGAGAAGTCGTGACGAGTGGGGTCCACCTAGTTAGATGTAAGGACGAATTCGCATCGATGACGGCGGCTGGCGGTTGCTCTTCAAATGTCGAGAGTCGGCAGAGGTTAAATTTCATGGGGAATAGGATGTTGTCTCAGTAACTGAATGGTGTAGAAGTTCTCCTTGTAACCTGATGGTCCTGGGTTCGACTCACACTGAAATGTCTCAAACAAGTACAAAACAGCTGACCGAAAACCCTTCCTTCATCAGTGGTGCTCTTACTGAAGTCAATTCATGGTGAAAAGTGAAATGAATCCCATCCCTGTAAAAACCAACACTTGAATTCAATTTATTGACTGGGAAAAAGAAGAGATTAGAATGAATCCTTCTCCCAGATCACTTCAGGTGTATAAAAAACACCTTATCATCAATGTCATTCAAACACCTTTTTCTGATTTGATTCACACACACCAAAGAAAGAATATGCACACTGTGTAAACTTTTATAGTGACAAATCTCACAAATATCATCTATTTTTTCTCATTTCTGTTATCCAACTGTTAAATTTAAAGGTTAAGATAATTTAAACAATCGTGTGAATATGTATATACACTAGTTATAATAATAAATACTAATTTGACATTTTGAATATATTTATCGCTGAAATAATAATAGACATTTTCGCGGATAATGAATGACTTGGACATCTGCCTTCTACGCAACACTAGACAGAAATTAGGTTAATCAGGAAGCATCATATATGAATGCGTATGACTAAAAGGATGCCTAAAAATATACATATATACATTTGAGTAGGTGAGAAATTCTAATTCCGATGAGTACGACGCATCATATTTTATGCATCACTGAATATTTGTAAAATTATTTTAAGTGAATTTTTGCGTAAATGGTATAAACATCTCATGGCATTAAAATGAGTAAAATTCATTTATTTTTTGAGCGTTTCAAGTGGTTTGCAAGTCCGTCTGACAGTTATTAATCAACAAAAGGTGTCAATGAAATCTTGTAGACAGTCGTGGAGAACACAATACAATGATGATGTGCTGCAGAAGACTTAAAGAACAAACAAAAAGCATAAATTCATTTGAAACTATTTTCTTATTTCTTCTCACAATGGAAGTATGTAGAAAATATCCTCATTTTTGGAAATGCACAGTTTGACTTGTTCCACAAGTTCATATTATATTGAACTGTTAGTGTTTCGCTCACACAACGAAGAATATTCATAATATATTGACAATTGATCACATGAAAAGCAAGAATAAGACATTTATTTTGAATTTTTTTGGATCTGTAGTATTAACGTATCACATTGTTCTGTGAAATTTACTCCTCAGAGCCTTATAAGTTTCAATTTCAATAACAAATTAATATCAGCTCAAGGACCATTCAAAAGCACTATGGAGTGCTGGACAGATTTCTAGGCCTCTAAGTTTGGTACTCTTCAGCATTACGTACTAATGACCTTACCGGTGAGCGAACTTAAGACCTTCGAGCTACGACGAAGTAAACTTGTTGACCGTCCGGCTACTGGGACGAAATCCAATCGCCCATGAATCCTTAATTCTATCGATTCCCTGTGAATTACAGATAGCAAAAATATTTAAAAAACCATTTTCAGTCATCTACATTACACAAAACAATGGCAAACAAAATAGAGAAAACTTACTGTGCAATTATATATATATGGTAACAATTACAAGTATTAACTCGCTTTGATTAAAATTCAGTAAGCACTTAACATTACAGTGACATATTAACAGTCTGTCTATCAACTGAAGTCACAAAACCAAGTCACTACTTCACTTCATTTCCAGATGACTATTGTGATTAAAATGGCAATCACTTGACATATAAGTACACACGCCTAACCGAAGTATGAATAGCAGTTCCATTTTAAGCGTTTTTTTAAAACACTACAAAATGTAATTCTCGAGAATCTTGTCTTCCTTTTAATGTTTGACTTGAGACCAGTTAAATCCTTATAAGGCGACAGGTATAAATTAATCCTATGCTCATTAGTGACTCACTTCAGGATGAAGTTACCTGGAGTTCTAGCCAGAAGCCGTGACTGGTGGGGGAGATAACAGGTCGGGTGTGAGAACAAATACTTACTGATAACAGTTGGCCGACAAAACTTAGAACTGATAGGCTAGTGAATTTCAACGCAGTGGTTGGATAGTAAACGTGTTTGGCTCTGAAACTTGAATGGTTTGAGTCTTGGACGCCTACTATAGATGAATCCTAGACTGGGATGAAACAGCCGTCCATTTCTCCCTGATGCTTTCCAGTCGTTCTCTAAATGATATCAATCACTGACCAAACTTAAAACAAATCAAATCCCTAGAAAACTAACTCTTGTGAAATACCAAATAAACTGACATGTATGCGGGCTTTCCAAATAAAGCGAAACGTTAAAACAATCCTGTCTAAAACAATCAGATTGATCGTAAACACCGAGTGGTTCCAAGCCTACTGCAGAAATCTTGACTTGTACAGATAAAAGCTTTCCTTCTAAGAACATGAGACGTTTAAAACACCTTGAGCTTGGTGTAATCCATCTTACGCTTCAAGATGAACACAACTGATGACTGCCTGAATAATAGTAATGATAGTAAGAAGAAATTGAATTCGCTAGACTCATATGTTAAACATGAATGAATATTTTCCTTATTGCATATATTTATAGCAAATAATCAATTAATTAATAATTTTCTTGTTATTATTGTTATCATAATTCGAGTTTATGATTAGAAGCTTTGCAATCTGAAACACAAAGAAAAAGAAGAAAGGTTTCTTTGTATCATACAACATCGATATTCAAATGATTTCGACTTTCAAAATGCTATGATGAAGTAGAGAACATTGTGGTTAGTTTTAAACAAAGACAGTTGTTATTACTATCATGTAGTATGTGTAAGGTGATAAGACAAGATGGTAGGAAAATACACACATTCGTTAAATTACGGTTTAAATGGATTTCTCATTTATAAATGTGCAACAGCTTCTTACTTGAAATAACAACGAGGTTTGTTTTGTTCCCTTGACTTTCCAAGCAGAACAAAGAGCTTTAAGCATGCGCCTTTAAGTATTAATAACATTCGCCATGGTTGTTTTACAGACTGTGGTTTCTGGCCTCACGTACAAAATTCTACCTTTACTAAGCTTACTACTGTCTAAGGAAGGTTAAGGAGTGGGTTGACCCAGAATCGAATCATGCACCATGTGAGACATGATTGGTGTGTGTACACAAATTGACTGGGTATTTATTAGTAACAATATCCTCTGTCTTATCCTACTGACATTTTTCTAACTGCAGGAAGCTAAAAGAAAAAAACGTTTTTCAGTTAAAATGAGGGAGCTAAGGACATCAAAAGCACATCCTTATGTCATCCTGTTCTCTGCAGTCTTATTTACCTGACTTCACGACTGCCAATAGGCTTTCTTCTTCTCCTCATATAATCTCCTTCAAGGCATTCTTAGACCCACGAACAAATGATCATTTCCCATTCGGGTTCCACTCGAAGGTCTCCTCAGTGTGTGCCAGGTCCATATCCATTTCCTTCAGCATATTTGCTGGGCAGGAGGTTCGTGGTTTATTCATTTCCAAAGATTCTTGTGGCCGATGTTTTCTAAAAAAACAAACAATAAAATTCACAGAAGAATTATAGTATTCTGGATATCTAGTGTATAGAATTGTCTCATGAGATAAATAAATAGTCTAAGAAACCATTAAACACGATAGAAATTCTTTGTGATTCTGCCCCTACTCAAAGACTGAGTTTCCTCACTGTAAGTTGGTGTTCCTTTTCCAGTTGATGGTAAAGTATAATTCAGAACAAATAGTAATCCCTTTTCTTATTAATTTTCATACAGGTTAATCTGAAATCACTATTAGTGTAGGTAAACTGTTGAACTGTGTTGACAAACTAAAAAAGAAACTATGCCTCGCCAATTATTTTCTTTCAGCTTAGATCACGGATTGATATCAATTAGAGAATCATTGAGAACCAGGGAGTATTGAACAGCTGTTTCGTTCAAGTTTGGGAATTATCGACAGTATGCGAGCTTGAC